TAGATACCTTTCTGGTCTGTATTGATGATTCAAGAAGAAAATTATTTATTTATTTATTTTCAAGTTTGCATGGTGAACTCTTAAAATTGAACACATTTGTAGGATAACACTATATCAAATTTAGGTTCCTTGTATTAGAGGTAGTTTTTTTTATGCTCGTCTTTCTTGTTTGTTGTTTTATATACATATATATATATATATGTGTATGTAACAATATATATATATATATATATTGTTAAGTACATGACTTCTTAGATTACCTTATTCTTGCCGCGTGCTAGTTCTGATAGCAGAGCACGTAATGTTCTTACATTAGAAGATTGATCTTGTAGCGAGATTGTGAAGATGATGTAATGAACGTGAGCCTCTTTGGAAACACGAATCTTCCTCTAGAGCTCATTAGCTGACAATTTCATGTGTGACAACCACACTAATAAGGTCTGTTGTGACTATAAAATGTTAGAATGGTGGTTTTGAAGTGTCATAAACTACTACCAAAGTCATCACAGCAGCCAGTCAGAACAAAGGAATTAGCCTAAGGAGCCAATCAGAACTCGAAGTTGAAACTAGCAAATTGCTTGTAGCGCGGGAAAACGCGGGTGACCAAAATTATGTATACGCGATACGCTGTTTTATTGAAAATTACTTTAATTATAGTCAAGAAACGCAAAATTTTAGACTGATGAGGCTCGAAGAGCGAAATATATTTCAAGATTCTTAAAGCACTGTTATTTTATTTTTACAGTTTCTTTACGTGCGTCGAATGTGATACTCGAGACCTGATGTCTTATTCTGCAAGTAGTTCAGCAGAATTTTAGATTTAGCATACTAAATGCAATAAACCATCTTCCGGCAATAAACTGAAATTAAAATTGCTGGTTATAGTTGAACAACCATATCATGATAGAAAATCAGTGTGGACAACATTGGTGATTGTTTAACATGGCAGAATAGCCAGGTCATGCTTTTAAACGGAGGGAAATAAAATATTTAATTGTATATTTTAACTTGATTGATAATACATTAATTACTTGTACATAAAAGTATATTTAGTTTTCACCTATTTAATGACGTTTGAATATTTTGTTTAGGATTTTAACTTATTATTAAATCATCATTCCACAGAGTCTTTTTTTGCAAATGATATTTTGAAAAGCAAATTTCTTATTTTATAATATTGGATGTGAACATTGTACAACTACCTATTTGTTTTCCACGATCAGATTTGCACTTATATTTTGTATTGCATATATTATACTGGAGAAATAAAACTTCCTTCATCTTTGCTGATTCAGTAAATATTGTTTCGTTTCCGAGTTGTTATATTTAAAGGATTAAGCCAGTACCTCGTCCACACCAACAAAACGTGTTTACGTATGATGCACGATCCTCGCAGTAGAGAGCGTGTTTAGTTAAACTTGGTTTAACTGAATGAAAAACAGAACTGAAAACTGAATTTTCCATAGGTTTCAATAACCTATATTTTCCAAGTGCTAAATTCGAAGTTGACAAACATCGGTTTAACTATCTTTGATGAAGAAAACAATTTTAAACTGTTTTTAACAAAAAAGCTTTTATTAAAGCATGGTTAAGCTTTGGTGTGAATGGGGTTTAAGTCTCGAGACGGGTACAGTTGACATCAGAGACATAAAGGATA